ATTTGGAGTAAATTTATGAAATCGTTTGTAAAGTGTTTAGATGAATAATTCGTAAGAAAAAATGAAAAGACTTCAATTCAATTATATAAATTATTTTGTTTTGTATTAAATGTCTTTGAATATCATGAAAAGAAATCAAAGTTTGGACGGAAAAAGATTGGATTAATTCATAAAATTGTATTGGATTAATTAAGATTGCATTAATACATTCCAAAAAAAAAAAGTTTAATGAAAAGTATCTATTCCATTTTATACTTCTTATAAATTAATTAAATGTTAATAAGACTGTATTATTTCGTTGCAGTTTTCTTTTTTTTAATTGACATTCTTCTCGAAATGACTTTTTCTTGAAATGATTTTTTTTTTAATCATGTAAAAAAAAAAGAAAATTTGATGGAACGTAATGTGATGGTGATTTCGTATCATGCATGCATTGAAGACAGTAATACATTAACATTTGGCCGGCATTGACCCCTGATGAAGTCAACCATTTTGGTCATCATTTTTCCCGATTATTTTCAGTAAAGCAAAAGTTATATTTTTCAAACCTTGAAAAATTATATTTTTAATAAGGCTTTTTATTTGCAAGAATATACGATAATTTCAACTTTACTGGTCAACAAAATTTTCAGAAATCTGATAACACTAGCAATTAATTATTAGCAGCATATAAATATCAAATTTTGTTTAATTTTAATTTTAAATTCCAAAATTTGAAATAATTAGATGTATCAAGATTTACTTTGACTAAAATAATTAAATATACAATGAAATTTTCAGGAAGGAGGTGATACAGGAGGTGATGATGCATTAAGTGCTAGTGACAATAGTAAAAGAGAAGGTGGCTATAAATCACTTGAAAAAATTTGCTTACCACCATTGTATCATCGGGATGGCACATCGTTTACACCTGTATCATCACAACGACAAGATTACATTGAGGTATTAATTAGCTGTAAATGATTAAAACGTGTTCTTCAATTTTTTTAACGCATAATTCATTCTATTCATAAAAATTTCATTAAATTATTTGTGAATTTAATTTTATTTCTTCGATGAAATTACAAATTAGAAGTTATTATTAACAGTAATTATTCCCTTAATTGGGGATATTTCTTTTTTCAAGAAAGAAAAATTCAAACATAAGATTGATATGTTTTATATTAATTTATTCATTCATTCATTCTATCTTAACTTACTAACATTGCTAACTTTTGTAATTTCCAACCATTCCTATCAATTTTCAATTACTTTAATATCCTTTAATTCACATTAGCTATTTGGTAATATTATTTCAACAACTGTAATGAATTCATGAAAATTTATTTTACAATTATATATTGAAAGTAATTATTATGCAGGAACCGGAATCAGAAACTTCCTCATCATCAAATCGGAAAAATAGCACGGATAAAGCATTGGTACGACGAATTACGAACGAATTACAAGTAGCAAAGTTAGAGAAGGAAAAAATTAAAGCAAATGGTGATACTGTCAAAGTTGAATCAAAAATCAGTAAGCTTTATTTAAATATTTAAAACATTTCTTTGAATGAATATAATTATTCCCTTAAAACATTCCAAAATTTTTTAAAATTCATTTTCTAGTACCTTATTCCGTGATATACCTGTTCATTAGCATTTCAATCAAATTGACTTTTATTTATATATTTGGATAGAATAATCTATCCTCCTCTCTCGTCCCCCGTGATATAATTGATCCTGATTAACTGTTTTCATGGTTACATTCTTTTAATCGATATAAACAAAGGAAGAATATTTACTTTTGTTATCTCCTTCTTTTTTTTTTGCTTTTTCTCCAATTCGTTATCATTAAAAAAAATTTTATCCGTAAAATTTCTAAACTCGTTTATTTTTCATATTCATATTCATCGCCTTACCGTATCATTAAAATGATGATTGGGAATTTTTTTTTTTTAAAAGACGAATTAAAATAAATGAAGCAAATAGAATGAGTGATAGATAATAAACTATTTCGAGATATCAAAAAAAAAAAAGGAAAAAATTCTTTTTTCTTTTAAATAACTTAAAGAAAAATAAAAATGCATCACAAGAATGCAAAAATTATTTATCATTTTGCTAACAGATTTCATTTATTTTTTGGGTCACATTGATAAATTAACGCTGTAATGAAACCGAAAATTTTGGCGATTAAAAAAAAATTTATTTTTTAAAAATTGTTAGTTTTAATTTTTAAACTGTGTCAATGTGAAATCAAGATTTTTTTTCTTTTCCATAAGAAAATGCATTTATTTATTTACTTATTTATTTTTTCTTTCTTTTTTTCTTTTTTTAATCCAATTTGTCAAGGCCATTAATTTTCGGCAGCAACGCTTTTGAAATTCCTTTACCTTTTCCTTTTTTTCCTTTTTTTTTCCTCTCGATAAAGGCAAATATCCGCGGGGTGGGAGTGAAGAGAACATGAAGGAGAAGGAGGTGGAGGAAAGATGTTGGTTTTTCTCGGGTTTTATTTGTACTTCCGAACATTACAAGTAAAATTTGACCGGTCTAAGAGTGTACTCTGATTGTTTCTACAAATATAATGCAGCTTGCTATTAGTAAGCCAGGAATTCTTATATCGGAAAAGGATTGCAAGCTTACCAAATGCATTATTGTAAAGCATGATATTTCTGGAACTAAGATGAAAGGTAATACTTATTGATTAAAGTTTTTTGATTTAAAATTAATCTAATTTTTTTTTTTTTTTTAATAACAGTAAGAGTTATGGTTGAAAGAGAAAAAGAAAAGATTTTAGAAGAAAGACCAGTCTATAAGATGTATGCGTTCCGGTTTGTTGAAGCTGGCCTTCGTCGAGCGCTTTGGTACTTTGGCCGATCATTACCAACTAAAAAAGCCTTATTTCTGGTATTTATCATCCGTTATTTATTCATTTTCTTCTTACATTCAAATTATTTATATCAAATTGTTTCTTCTTTCTCTAAATTTTACTATTATAATAATTAATTGTGTTGATTTTATCCATTATGCCAGCATTATCTTTTAGTGTCTTCCGATTACATTTGTATTACTATCATTGATTGGACCTATAGTACATCGTCAACGGATGAATCTCTCATTACCTTTTGATACATTTGTTTCCTGTTCCAATGACCATTATCCAGCATCTGGACATAACAATCTTCGCTTGACCACACGTGGTATTCTGTCTTTTAATGGTTCCAATCCAGCATATAACGTTATTAGACGTAATTCACCAGCTGAATTTGCTATAATTATGCGATCAAAGTGAGAATTTACTATATTTGCTGATAATAAATTTCCTCTTTTCGTCCTTATTTGTGGACGAAATTTTATTTTTCCTTCATATAAATAATATTTTCTGGCTTCATATTTTCCGATAAGTTGCATTTCTTTCCAGAAATTATGCTTCAATCGTTACCGAAAACTCGATGAATTCATTCAGAAAATTAAGTTATTCAGTAAAATCAATTATTGTCAATTACGAACGGATGAATTTAACGGTTACATTAAAGCATAATTATACGAGTTTTTATTGCCAAAGAAAATTTGAATGAACTTCTGAATTGACAATTTGATCGAAAATTCCGAAATTTTAAAAATCGTAACTAAACAGTAAATTCACAAAGCATTTTATCAATTATATTGCTGAAACTATATTGTTCTTCTATGCTGAGAAAGTTTTAAGTGATAAATTGAATAAAGAATGAGTAGGACGAAAATTATTCACATTGATTTAAAACCTTAAATCAATTTATCATCATAATTATCAGTTTTATCAAGCCACTTAATCCAATAATAGAAGCTTTTGAACGCTTGATATCATATTAACATTAGCTTTATGTGGTATTTTATCAATGATAACATTACTCTGTTCAGTTCATCATTCGTTAGATTCGAATTATTTGATGTTGGCCATTTAGCTTCTTTTTTTTATGCTCAATGAAAAATTTTCAAATTACAAATTTTGTTACATATTGCCAAATTATAGTTATTCTTTTAGCGACAAAAAAATTAAAAATGTTAACTTTTAAAAAAATAGAATAGATATATTTTTACGATTTCATTCTCATTCATTCATACATTTATCATTATGTAGTGGCCGGAAATGTGTCATGATACATGCACCGGAAAAGATGATCCTATACAGCAAATTCTGGAAAGTGACCCAAAAATTACACTTACTTATCCGGAAACAATCATTTCACCCAAAAGTAGTGGAAATCTGACACGCTTATTTCTTGGACTTGCCATTGGTGGTAAGTATAAATTGTTTGTTTTAATTTTTGACCAATATTATGTTTTAGCATTAATGAAAAGTTGCGCATTGCAGCTTTAGAAATAACTCCAGAATTACTAAAATTAAAAAGTTTTGAATTTTGTCTGAAAAATAAAAAAAAGCAGAAGAAGCAATTTCGACTACAAATCAGTTTTTGTTTTATTTATTTTCATAGCTTAAGTGATTCTAGTTTCAATGTTTGGATTACAGCAAACTAGAAAATTTTAAATTCCTTATGAAATTTTTTACAAAAGATTTTTTATAGAAAAAATTTAAAATTTTCAAAATTTAAAATTTTTTATAAAATTTTCTATGGAAAATTTTTTTATATAAATATAATTTTCTATAGAAAATTTAAAGTTTTAAAATTTCTAAAAAATAAAAATTTACAATTAAATTGAAAAAAACTCCTGTGCGCTTATCTGTATAAATTCTTTCTCTAGAAAGCTTTCTTTTTTTCTTTGTCGTGCTTATTATGCATATAATTACAGGTGTGGAGACAGACGCAGATGGTGTTGTCACATATGCACGATCGTTAAGGACAAATTTTAAACTCAAGGAAAATTTCCGTTCAGAAATTCTGGACGAATTTTCCAAACAATTTGTCAGAAAGGTTATCATTTGTTCATTTGTTCTAATAGTAATCATTTATGTTTCAAAAAATTTGAATAAAACTGACGTGAAGATAACGACATCTAGTAAGTTCAAAGCTCTGTCGCATATGTTGATTGGCCAAACCAGCTAACAGTCGTATTCTATTATTAGCAAAATGTGTCATTGCACATGATATATGACATCATTCTGTAAGAAATGGAGCCATAGATGTAATTAGTGTGATGGTCACTCACATGACCATCTGATGGTTACACACATCCAACACTGTTGTAGCAATTTCTTTTTTTTTTTAATATTTTGAGGTTTAATTTACAATTTGCGATGAATACTATGAATTTGCCGAACTAATTTATGACATTTACATTTCTTTAAGAGGAATAATTTGACATTCTGTTTTAAAATTATTTCCAAGAATTTAGTTAATTCACTTTATTTTTGTCAAAATTTATGCTTATTTTTTATTTTATTAACAACAGGAAAAAGAAAATGGTGTAAATATGAAACTGATCAATGAAATTAAATGAAATAAATATAAAATAGTAGGAGGAGGTCAGTTTACTTGACCTTTTAAGATTTTCATCAATAAAACAAAAAAGTGCGATCGATAATTGCAGATGAATGAGGAACGAGAAGAGATAGAAAAGACCTTAGATGTCGATATCAGCTGGTGGTCATATCGTGAGTTCGTGCATGAAGTTATTTTTGGATTAGAAACTATGCATTACTTGCTAATTGCATCTGCAGCTATTCTTGTGCTTGCATGCTTGGTTGCAAGTTTTGGTGCAAATGGTTATCAGGTGATCAATTTTTTAAAACAATGCTCAAAACAGAAATGAAAAATGAAACAGAACAAAATGGTCAAGCTAATTGTAATCCACAAATTTAGCATTCCTTTTTTCTTCTCTTACATTTTTATCCGTTTTCAAGTTTCATATAAATGCTAAAATTAATTTATACTACAAAATTAACACTTTGCTATAACAAATGCATCGATTGTTATTGTATTCTGTCTCTCCACACATTTCACTTAACATTTAAAAAGTTTATCGTATTTCATATATTCCACATATATAGTAGTTGTAAAAAAATTAATTTAATCGTTTTGCAAAATAATTTTTCATTCTTTTTCTTTTAATTTTGTCATATTTATCTGTCTGTCCACATGATTTAGCATTAAATTAATTCATCGAAAATTTTTAACTTCAATTTTTGGCTTTTTTCCATGCGTAATTTTTTTTCTGTTGAATTTCTTTAAAATTACATAAAACATTTTCTTACAGAAAAAAAACGAAAATTGAAATGAAACGAAAATTTCATTACGTCCCGTTTGCAATATGCCAGCAATGATCTTTTTTTTGTTCTCACTTTTTGTTTTGCAAAATAAAAATTAGGAAATTTTTTTCAACCTATTAGCAGTGTTAAGTGTTAATTTCGAAAATTTTTTTGCGAATAAAATTCTACAAAATATTTTCTATTTGAGAAAATAATCCAAATGATGGCCTTATTTTTTATTTTTATTTTTTCCGTTATAATTTCATAGCAGTAATATCTATTTTTTTTCCTTTTTTTTCAAACGCATATCATTAGTTATTCCAGTTTTGTTACAGAGCAAACCGGTTCTGGGATTAGTAATTGGTGTTATTTTGATCGTTTCTTGTCTGGCCGGTTTTTTTGTTCAACTTACTGGAGTGGGATATGTCAATGCGATTGTCTTCCCAATCTTCTTCATCCTTATCGGTATTACTTGAAATTTTTCAAAATTTGAATTATTTATTTGGCAAAAGCATTTTTCCGTTTTGATAAAATAACAATTAATGAAAGTTAAGCATAAATAATCTAATAAAACGATCGATAATGAAGAAGAACTGTTTCCGTATATTGGATCGTTTAAGCGGATTTAAGGTTAAGCTTAATAAAAAATTAATGTGGCGACAACAAAAGAAAAAAGAAAAAGTAAAGGCAATCATTATATCACCTACGATATGCAAATTTGATATCCTAATTACTTTGTTAATCTATTACTATTTAAGTTACTAAAAGCTTTGGCAAGGCGTAATAATAACAGAGAAGTGGCTCAAAATAAAAAAAAAAAAAAAACGAAATTTTGAGGTATTGGAATACTAATGCTTTTCACGCTGGAAGATACATGGTCGAAGTATTCAAATGTCGCATGTGATCCAGTCGAAAAATTATCGCTAATCCTAAGTTGGGATGCTCCATGTACTACAATCACCGCATTTATTATCATCGTTTCATTCGGTTAATACTTGCTTTATCTTATACTGACACTGATAAAGTTATTATTTTTAAAATGAATTTTAAGAATTTCATCGAATAATTTTTAAACTGTTGAATTATTATTATAATACTAAAAGGATGCAGTTAAAAATAAACAAAATTGAAGGAATTAGGAATAAATAATTACTGCTAATTACAGTTGATAAGATTAAAGTAAGAATCTAATTTGGACAATTCAATTATAGTACAAATGACGAATTTTTTGCAAGGGTCATAAAAATGTTTAGGTATATGATATCATTATGATTTTATGATAGCTTGAAATAATCCTATAATATTTAAATCCAAATTAACGTCCTATTTTGGATTAATTTTTATTTATTTTCGAAAATAAAAAAGATTTTTTGAATACTTCTTGGAAATTTAACGAATCGAATTGATATGATAGTACCAAATGTAATTGAAAAATGCCGGAATAATAATCATCAAAAGTTGGAGGCAATATTAGAAAATTCCAATAGATTATTAAAATAGATTCTAATAAAAGATTATTGGAATGATTGTTGTAAAATTATTATCGTTTGCTAATAAGCATACTTGCTGCATTTCGAAACATTTTTTTATGAATTTAATAATAAATTGAAAAGTTTTAAATATTCAAAACTTTCTTGTAATTCCCATAACTTTCCTGTTTCTCTTTTTTTTTGCTTATCTGAGTTCTGATAATCTGAAGAAGGGAAAGAAATAAGAAAAATTTAATGTTTGCATTGTTATTTGCCTATTACTATTTGGGATTTGCTATTTGCTATTTGCATGATCACAAATATTAATTTTTGAGGCCCAATAGATCAAGCAAAATGGGAATTCATCTTTTATTTGTGTCCTAATTAATTAACTAAATTTGTGCGATAAATAAGTCAATTAATTGACGGTTTGCATAAATTAGAATTAATTAATTAATCATTTATATAAACTCAAAAAAAATGAATTGTGTTCGAATTTATTGCTACCCAAAATTCAATTATTATCAGAAAACTTTGTTTTTGTTTTTTTGTTTCTAATCTCTTTGAAGTTTCCATTCACTAACAAGCTTTTTTTACCTATATTCCACATTCTCATTTCACTGTGTAGAAAGAAACCGGTAATTAACTGCAATTCTCTCTAAACTATACAGTTTTATAATTCACAATGATTGTTAGCATTGGTTCAATTGAAGTGATAAAACTGAAAAATAATTTGCATAACCTTAATGTTGGCTTAATGATCCTTTTACTAAAAAAAAAAAAAACGAAATCTTGCTGCAGACCAATCCGTTTAATTAATTAAATCTCTAATTTGAAGCAATATTTTTTCAGTTCAATCAGAAATACCTGAAAATATTAATTACTATTTACATTTTATATCTTATTTGCTCTACCATTGTATTAGGATGTGAAAGTGAATGAAGAAATATACAAGAATGATTCCCGAATGATAAGTAATAGAGAAATTGAATTGGAAAACCACTAATAATACAAACGTCCTCCTTAATTTACATTTTATAATTAATTATGAAGCATTAGAATATTTCATTAATTAAAAAGTAAAAATGGAAAAATAATCGAATTATTTCAGCGGTAATCGGTTCAACGACAAAAAGTCCCTACTTGCAATACATGTCATTTGTGTTAGCAGCTGGTGTCGCCGTTTTACTCATCTTTGCTCTTCTCTTTTTCACCGTATTTCTGTATATCGCGGGTCGCCGTGAAACCAAAGGTGTCAAGTGGTACCAGTGCTTTCGGTCCGGTGATACACATTTTGCTCGTAAGTTTTGAAAAAAAAAATGAAATAATCGAAATTTGAAATTTTTTTGGTACATTTGAAAATTATGAAATCAAACGAAGAATAAAAAAGTGCCAATTTTTCCTCTTTTTATTTGACCTTATTGCATCAATTGTTGCTATTACAATAATTAAGAACATTATCATTATCATTACCATTATCTGTTGTCATTATTGGTAAAGAATTATTATCCTATCCATAAACATCCAATGCAATATTTTGAACCATTACGAAAGAAAAAAAAATTTTAATCGATACTGTTATTAGTGAGATTATTACTTAGCTGATAACATATCTTACAGATAAGGCAAGAGAGGAAAAAGGAAATAAAAACACTGGAAGAAATTATTGCTTATCATAGAAGTAGACCATTTAAAATTGTTGAAATTTGAAATTGAAGTATTCATTTGTTTTTGAAAATATCTTCATTTTCTGTTAAGGCCAACTTTTTTAATCTTCGAGCTCAAATTTAAGCACAAAGAGAAATGAAAAAAACTATAAAAATAATTTTTTTTTATCAATCATTATTCAATTCGTTTATACCTTATCCTATAAATGATTGCTACTGCAATACTGAATGATGAAATTAATGAAATTATTTCCAAATTAAGAAAAATGATATGAAAATTATTTGGAATTTAATTTAATATCATTTTTAACATTATTATTGTTATTATTACAGCTCGAACAATCAATGAATTCAGTGATTCAAGTATTGAAATGCTTCATGAAAAGCTCATTGATACTAAGCCATCATTTTCGAGAGCTACTGCGGCGGCAATGGCTAATTCATATCTTCGTTGTCCGGTTGCATTCATTTTTGCCATCTATTTGGTGCTTGCTTTTTGGGGATGCAAAGATGTTCGGTAATGAGAAAAAATAAAGAATAAATAAATTGTTTGAAAATTTTCACTTGACAAATTAAGATTTGTAAAATTAAGATTTAAATTTTGAAATCAACTTTAATCTGAATTTTATTTCAATAATAATATGAAATTGTTGATAATATGAAATGGATAATCAATTATTTCAATTAATTAGTTGATTCATTAACAACAATGGAAAAAAATTTTTATTAATTTGTTTAAGAATAGATCTGAAGGAGGAATATTTCCTGTCACAAGAAAGTGAATCACGGAAATTTATTGATAATTATCGTATTGAATTTGGACAATATGAAGATTTTCTTGAATTAATATTCGATGAACCAATCGATTATCTTGATCCACATCGAAAAGATGAAATCCTTGCCATACTAGAATGGCCTATCGTATGCTCTTTTAATTCCAAAAATGAATAAATTTTATTCCATTTAACAATTTTAGTTTTATTACTTGTATATGCATATGTTGTTTGCTAATAATTATTATTTAAAAAGAAAGTAACAATTAACAAAGTCACGTTCAGATTTCGATTGTCACGTATGAGTAGTATTTTTTGGCTCTCTACTTTCCGAATTTCTGACATATCACGTTAATGTTTATTATTGTCCGGAATATCGTGTATATTTTTTTTCCAGCAAAATCAGTTAGCAACAAAGTCAGTGAGTTGGTTGAAAGATTTTGTGCGATTCGAAAGTACAACTATCTATGATATAAATCCGGTAAGTTATTAATTGAAGCTATTTCATTAATTCAAGTATTTCAAGTTTCTTTAGTTATTAATTCAAATATTTCTAAGTACTCAAAGTTCAAATACTTATTTCAGTCTTTTTTATTCTTACTTTTCAAACACTTGTATTTTGTCAAATCTAACTTGAAACAAGCTTAACAATGTTTATTAAATCAGAAAAGTCGTTCAAACTTCATCTTTTTTCTAAATTTTTAAAGTCAAAACTTTTTTTTCAAAATTTTCTTATATGAAAATTTTTCTTTTGGAACTTCCATCAATGCTGCAATAAAAATAATTGTTAAGACTATTTAATCACAAATAATGTGTACCATTTGATTTGATAAAACAGCTAATTTCTAATTTCAACTTATTTTCAAATACTTCAAATTCATATATAACTAGTTTAAAAAAAAGCAATTTTAGTCCTAAATTACTTGTCTTGGTTTTAAATTAATAATTTCATTAGATTAGATATGATTACGATTGCATTACAAGATAGAAGTTCGATTGTTTCTCATTGTTCGACCTAACTTATCACTACTGATAGCGCAATTATCATAATTCAGAATCCATCATATTAAGTTATTTGGTTATGCTTTTATATGCAACAATAGTTTTCCTAAAAATATATTTGCATAACTAATTCGAATTTTTCTTTTCCTTTCATTATTCAAAATATTTCTTTTTCTTTAATTTTAAATCAAACAATATTTCCTTTCTTTAAGGATACATTTGTGCCAGTTATTGGTATTGTTTTTTTGACTGCTGAAAATTACAAAAAATATCGGAATGATATAATTTTTGACAAATTTCAAACACGGATCGTTGGATCGAGGATGTACATTGAATTAACAGCTAAAGGTGTTCAAGACAGGTCAGTTAATATTTGCAAATTTTTTTTCCTTACAATTCTTTCAGTAGAAAAAAGCTTTGCTATAATAATAATAGTAGTAATATTGTCAATTTCAGATTGTTTGTAATTGATGAATTATTGAATAAGGCTCGTTCAGCTGGTATATCAATGTTTGTGAAGACACCGTTTGTCTTTGCCATTCAACATGATTTACAGGTAGGTAAGGTATATTGCATGCCCAACAATTTCATTTAAATGCAAATTTTATGGTTCGAGAAAAATTTCCTGCTTATAGCAATGGCCGTTGTTTATATGCTGATATCATGGTATATATATATATATATATATATATATATATATATATATATATATATATATATATATATATATATATATAT